TGGTTATGTACTTGACGATAAAGACCATTAGGCTCGTTGTTGTCCAGTAAAGGTTTTGAATTGTCATTGAATCTCCAAACAATCATATCAGACAACGAGTACACTTAATCTTTATAAATCCTATCCAATATCCCATTAGCATAATTACTTATGAACCGTTAAAGATATTATAATTAACGATTATCACAGTAAATTCAAGACATTTCCCATTATGTCTCAAACGTGATATATTAATATCACATTACTGACGATGTTAAAGTTAGAGTCCTTTAAAGAAAATAATTGTTTCTTTTCAAAATGCGTACAGTAAAAATGTAGATATTTCCTGTGATGGAATTTAATACAGGCTTCTTAGTTTTGTGTTGACCATATCCACTGCTCAGTGTGTGTGGAAGACCCGAAGAAGGAATAACTAAATTGAGGTCATTTTACTTATGAAGATGTAAGTGTAAGCGATTGCCTTTGGTCATTATACAAGACTTAGTTAGACTTTCATCGTTTTACAGTAATCAGGAACTCCGTAAGAAATTAAATTTAAATGGACATTATCTCGCCATTCTGTTTCTAATTTGTGAATCGATCTGTAACGTACACATATCTCATATTTCTTACTTCCCATCGACTTCGCACTACGCCCTTGAATACTTAAAATCGGTAGTGTGTCCATCTTAAGATATTCTTATTGTTCAAAGGTTGATACTTTGAATTTATATTAAAGATTTATCACATGATCTACCAATAAACTTAATTGATACTTTGAATCAGTGAATGTAGTCAGGTGAAGAATAGAATCACTTCGCTCAGTCATCTGAGGAAAGTAATAACTTAAATTCATCTAATCGTGCATTACGTTTTCTGCAATAGTTGTTGTTGATGGTTTCTGCACACCAATGTTCTAAATTATTTCTGCACACCAATGTTCTAGACTGTTTCTGCACACCAATGTTCTAGTTGTTTCTGCACACCAATGTTCTAGACTGTTTCTGTTGTTTCTGCACACCAATGTTCTAGTTGTTTCTGTACACCAATGTTGTAGTTGTTTCTGCACACCAATGTTCTAGTTGTTTCTGCACACCAATGTTCTAGTTGTTTCTGTACACCAATGTTCTAGTTGTTTCTGTACACCAGTGTTCTAGTTGTTTCTGTACACCAATGTTCTAGTTGTTTCTGTACACCAATGTTCTAGTTGTTTCTGCACACCAATGTTCTAGTGGTTTCTGCACACCAATGTTCTAGTTGTTTCTGTACACCAATGTTCTAGTTTTTTTTGCACTCAATGTTCTAGTTGTTTCTGTACACCAATGTTTTAGTTGTTTTTGCACATCAATGTACTTGGTTGTTTCATTAGTGTTCTAGCTAGATGATTTCTGCACACCAATGTTCCAGTTGTTTCTTGACATAAATGTACTAGATTTTTTCTGCACACCAATGTTCTAGATTGTTTTTGCACATCAATGTACTTGGTTGTATCTGCCCATGGTTTCAGCTTGTTGGTGTACCCAGCAGGGTTTTTAATCGAGTCGGACTCTGACTCGGGTCCAAATTTGAATTGATAGATATGTGTTTTTTTAATTGTTCAATAATTCCAAGTCTATTATGTACTTTAAGCAGGTCTTCTTCAAAAACAAAATATACTTGTATATGAGAATCGTTCAGAATAGTTAGTGGCCTGGCAATGATTTTTCAAAAAATTCTTTAGCCAACACCACTAAACATAAGCAAACATTTTTTTGTTTTAAAATCTGCCAAAACAACACCGAAATGGCCGGGTGATGGATTTTCTGAAATGCGTACAACTTCTCTTAAATCTCTTCCATCTTGATTCTTTAAAATGAAGAAGTCAAAATTTAAGAAAGTGGACATAATAAAAGGAATATTTGTAGCACTATGGCTTTCAAATAGTAGGAGAATAGCTTTTATCACAATAGGTTTTGCCATTTTCTGAAAACTTCATCAAAATTGGGTTTTCTCTAATGTAATTGGGAATTATATAATTGAATTCCAAAATCATATGAAGGTGTCTAAACCTTTTTTCTTGACCTGCTAAAATATCAACGTACCCGTTAATTGTTCGAATCGTTTAGTCTATATTCTGATTGCTTCCTCCACCTTCTTCTCTATTAATTCAATGAACAGTAATGAACAGTAATTACTGGTTGTTGGTACTCTGTCGACATGGTATGAGTGAGATGGGCTTAAGATGGACGGACGCCTTGTACATTAAAGAGATTAAGGAGGAAGCGGCCCCTAACCCATGTAGGGCTCCAATAATGGCAGGATCCGAAATAAAATATGTACATGATTCTGTTCAATATAAAAATGATACTGTTTAATATGTACACGATAATGTTTAATATGTACATGATAATTCAATGGAGGCCGCTATTTGCAATCACCATCCTTTTACACCAAATGTTACGAGATTCCTGATTGGATAAACTTAATAGTGACGCATGGTTTGCGAAGGGATGCGATTAGTCTCTTATGACGAGAATATGGAATTGTTCAAGCAATGGTTAGATGTGAATAATCGCTTCGTTGCTTAAGGACCATGGGGGTTAGCTTAACAGACGGAAATCCTATCCCTGGCTATTTTGATATCACGAGCGATTCGCTGATGTTTTCTGAGAGTGAATTCCATTCTTCAGTTGTTGTAAAACTTCAGTTTTGTATGGAATTAATCTTAGTTTATCTAATTCGCGAATATGATATGGATTCACACTAATAAATATAAAAAGGAGGGAACTAATTTGTGAAACATTTTGTAACAGAACTTCGTGTCTTGAGTGATGTAAAACTGGTTTCGGAGTAAAGAACTTCATGTGACGTTCCCCTCACCAAACCAGATATTGTTCTCAATGCATCGAGGTGAATGTTTTCGAGAAGATCGGTTTCCTGATCTAGGCAATTGATCCACACAACATCACCATAATCAAAATGAGGCAAGATACAGGATTTATATCAATATATTTGGAGAGTTTCCGAATCAGTGACTGGATGTGTGAAAACCATTTGATAGACTGATAAGGTTGGGCATAGCGTATCCAGTTGGGGCGCAGGGTTTAATTAATTGATTAATGTGACTCGAAAGGTTTGCGCCGCCACTGAGTGCAGTAGGTAAACATTTTTAGGACTGGAGTTGGGGAATTGGTATAATGATTTCTGATTGTAAAGAATGCTTTGAGACAGGTGACTGTGTTAGTCGCAAATCTATCACTGTTATTTTTACATAAACCAGGTTACATTTCTGTAACACAATTACAAAATATCTGAAATAAAAAACAAACAAAACAAAGACAAACAAAAATGAATAGTTAAGGCAACGAAATGAACTTTTTGCGGCGTCGTGAATGATTCGAGAGGCTTCTCATATGAAACAATAAAATCTTTATTTGTTATGTTTATAATAATAATATTTAATATAGCTATTAATTTGATAAGAGGTACTTATTAATGTTGTTACTTAGTTACTTCATATAAACACAGATAACCCGATATGTACCCTATACCTTTAAAGGTTTACTGTTTTTAAGGCACAACTATTTAAAGCGAAAGTCAGTAAGACACGGTACTTTAGGCACAATTATTTTAGACACACCCTCATTTAACAATTAAAGATGTGCCTAATTCACTGTGCCTAAATGACATTATGCCATAAGTGTGCGTAGAAAGTGTGTGGCTAATTGAATATGTGCATAATGCATAAATAACGCTGTGCCTGAATGACCTTAAAGATGCGTGCTGATAGAAATTTATTCCAGTCATAAAATGAAAGACTGGATTGGGGTTTTACTACAATAAAATTCTTATTGTAATTTATTCAACAAAAGTCTAAAAAAAATTCAACAAGATAAAAAAAAAATCGTTTCTATTTCTTGCAAACGAACTGCATGTTAAAATTGCTATTTGGTATTTGGTACGTAGCTGACATTACGCTGTATCAGTAAATTATAATACTGTATCTCTTTAAAACATAATCGCACCATCCGTCTCCTTGACCCTTGTAACAAGTTAATCTTTACTTTGTAATAATAATAAATATGATAACAAGTCATAAATTCTTGGTGTCATAACAGTTTAGATTCTTGAGAATTGTCTGCACTCATTTCAGCATGGGTTGATCTGTTGTCGACAGTCGTAGGCTTGTATCATTTAAAACATTCCCCTGCATGGAATTCAATATCTGGCTTGGTCCCATAAGCCCGAGTTGTTATCTTTGTGCATGTAAATATTCTTTATTTCATCTCAAGGACCAGAGAATGACCACTTAAAACTATAATTTACAAATCGATCAAATAAAAACAACTCTCTAATGATCTTAATGAGTCCTTCATGTGTTCTTGGTTTAGAAAGTGTTGTTTACGGTTGCTTGACAACCAATGATAAGGTTGATTAGTTTACTGACAGCATGTTGACACGTTGATTTTACTTGACAGTTTATATAAACGACGGATTAATTTTGTTTGCTATTAAGATAAATCAAAGGGACTAAATTTTCAAAGGATTTGTGCTCTTTTCATATTAAACAATAGTTGTGTTTTGTAACTGAAAAACGACTTATAAGTTGAACTTTTATTTTATAATAAGCTTTTCAACAATTCGAAATATCATTAAGTAAGGTTTGTGAGTATGTATAGATCTTACAAATGGTGTCTTATTTAGTGGATTTGGTCTGAGTGAATGTACTTGATGGCTTCAAAATAAAAGTCGTTTCGAAATATCTTGTCTATTGATATTTGATGACATCATTTTTCTATAAACGTTAGTGATAGGGGTATGTCAATGGGCACTGCATATATCTCATTTGTCAATATCTTTGTCAAAACAATCCGATATTCAAAATTTGTTCACCCTATACTTCATTTTTACCAATTATCACTATCAATCACATATTTATATATCAAATAGTTTGTAGCTTTACCATATGAGAAACTTAAAGTTAAAATTTTCTCAGTTGATCACTTTGAATGTTACATTTCAGATCTAAATGGTAGTTGTAAATGGAGCAAGGATCCACAGCCAATTCCTATGTAACCAATCGAGAGAGGGAATACCTGGCTAAACTCTGTTGGTTACTTCACGATGCAGGAACATACACACTACGGACCATTTTTAACAGTATCCACCCCGGAATAACCCTCAAGGAACACTTGGCACAACATCATATTAGATCTGTATTGGTCAAGCTACATGAACAGAAGGCACTGTCAGAGAGTCAATGGAGGGTCCTTTATCCAGTAGAGAAAGGTGGTGCGAGTTCTCAACGTTTTGACTCCAGAATATTAGTAATACTTCTTCAGACCATATGCCACTTGAGTCCACCCTATCCAAACGGCTGGTCTGCCGAACCGCTACCTAATGACACCAGTCTTAGCGCTGATGTTGTTCGACTGCAGATACTTTTACAACAGATTGGGTCGTTGGTTGGAGTCAGACATGAAGAATATCCAGTTTTATGGAGGAAAATTGTTGAAGTTCTTCTCCGGCAAGGTGGTCCAGCAGTACGAGGAAAAATCGAAAGAACTGACACAGGGAATTTGAATCCAGAACAGCAAAACTTTTATATTCAACATGTGAAAGATATTTGGGGAACCACCGAGTCGGGAGTAGGAGCCCTTAGACATCTTAATGGACCCAGGGCTCTGAATAAACCAAGTAAGGGTGGTAGGAAGAAAACAGAAGATCAGGAAGGTAATTCTTTTACTCATCAGATGATGATATTGATACATATTCAAAACGGAACCATTATATTATGGTTGTGACAAAAAAGAAAAGTACATGTATTTTCCTATATTTTAAGACATGACACAACTCGCAAACTTTTGGTTTAAATAGCAAAAAGAATGGATATAGTCCTCTAAATAAATCTCAATATCCGTATTTCTTTTCACAATGATTGTCTGCATACTCTCGGAGGTGACGACTGTGTATTTTACCATGGTGTTACGGAAGTTTTTCTCCCCGTCTTATATTACTGATAAGGTTATTCTTAAAAGAGTTGCAGGTAGCCTAAAATTGAGCTGTGTCAGCTATTTATGCTGACTGCTTAACCGATGCATCTCCTCTGATATATATCTGTAATTTGTTGTATATCTTTCCAGGGCTATCATTGGAGGATAAAGTAGTATTATCTAAGATGTTTAAGGTATTAATGGATACTGCAGTCGCTGAAGATATAATAGACCGTCTTCAACAAGGGCAGATAATCAAAATTACAGATCGACAAGAAATAACGGCTTTATCCAAAAATTCTGAACGCATGCAGTTTATTCTGTTAAAAATTCAAAATTCGAAGTCACCTTATGCCTTCAAGATATTCCTGGATGCTTTGAAGTTTAAATATAATAAACTTTATGAAGAGGTGTCTGAATTCAGAAGGATAACCTATAAACACGGAGTCAAGGAAACGAGAGGTAAACTTTCCTTCTGGTAATTTTTTTGTAGTTTTTTTTCGTTAAAAATGCATGTTGGCATTAGTATGAAACAAATTATATTCTTCCTGTTTATATTCAGTATTTGGAAATTGCGGCGTTAGTTTGACTGCTTGGATGTGCATTCACATTTCTCAACATGGTCTTAAACAACTTTTAGGGGCTATATAATTGAAAGTCATTTCGCAAATATACTCTCTTAAGAACTTAATTTCAGACATTTTACAGAACTAACATAAAGTAATTTCTGTAAACCTCGACTCAATATGGATATGTCATTACAGTCTTTATGAAATGGTTTTCAGATTTGGTTGGCATTTGTAACAAGGCATTAAAGGCGCACTATGGAGCCGTATTTTCTAAAATGAGTCCTTTGCCATGGAATGAAAACCTACAAATGCCCATTAAAGACTACTTTACAGCAACAGAGATAGTCCACAGTGATGGGTAAGAGGGGATTTTGTCTGTGGGTCTGTAATCTTAAAGAGTTTTGGAACTCTTTGTATCAGCTTTGTATATAGCAAAGAGAGCACCTGGTTCTAATGTTCAATTCAAAATTGGAATTGGAATTGAGGGAAATGTCGAGTTTATAAACATAGTTAAAGCGTGAAATCAGGTGTAATCATTATTGGCCAAACTCTTTTTTTATTTGAAAGACACTTCATTTTTCAGTACAGTACGTCCATATTTTCAATCTTTTAGTCTCTCTATAAACATAAGAATTCGTAAGAAATACGGTCAATAGAGCTATGCTTTTAGAATTTCCTGAAATAAAACATATAAGTTATTTCAACGTACATGTAACAATTATTTTTTCAGGCACAAGGTGCAGCTACATGATATTCTTCCACCAAGAGTTACAACTGGTAGAGGATCGAAAGTCATTCTGGAAGGAGAATCTGGTAGTGGTAAATCAACTTTAGCTGCAATGATGACTTACCAGTGGGCCACCAAACCAGATTTTTTCAGCGAATATTACCGATTTATGATCCTAGTGGATGCCGAACTACTAGAGGGAAACGTTCGAAAGTCTATTTACCAACAAACTATTTTAGAAAGCAGCAAAATCACTTTTGATGAGTTTTGGGAAACTTTAGAATCTTATGATGAAGATGTTGTATTGGTAATTGATGGATTTACTGGTGGAAGATCAGAATTGTGCAAGTTAATTGACGGGACACATCTTTTGAAAAGCGCTGTTCTGGTAATGGTCAGTCCGAATATCTCAATGAGTAAGGTTGTTAAACCCGATTATAAACTCTTCAATGTTGGTCTTAGTGTCAGTCATATTCCAAGATGTTTGAGAATCTATGCTGGAATGATGCGTATCGGATCGGATGATTTTGATATTCTGCTTGAAGAACTCGAATCCTGGCCACATGTACACAATCTTCGACATCCTTTTATCTGCTACGTCACCATCACCACTTATAAGTATACTAAGCTAGATTTGAGCAAATTCGTCAACATCTCGTCACTCTTTGAATCGTATGTCAAATCTTTAGCTACACAGTTCAGCAAGAAACATCGTTTTCATTTACAAGAAGATGACGAAGATGCCTTTCAAAGCGAGGTTGGCGATCTTGTACATCACATTGAAAAACTTTGTTTCTCCATCGAGACAACGAAAAAGACATTCTTTACCGATGGAGAAATCATGGGTACTTCCATTAACACCAATGTCATGAAATTTGGCGTCTTGCAACGATCTCCTACTACTGGTTTGATAAAAGGACACTGCTCTGTGTTAAACAATCATATGTCAGCCCGTCATTTAGCGGACTTACCACCAGAAGAACTACAAGAAACACTAGACCAACGACACATTTTAAAATATACTAAATACAGCGACATTGTATCTTTCCTGTGTGGCTTGTACTATTTAGGCGAAAGGCTTTCGGATGTCGAAAAGATTTTCACAGGGCTGACTGAGATAAAGACGACTCGACGTCTGAATGGTGGATCGGTTCATCTAGTTCACCTGAACCAGAGCTTACAAAGCATTGTGGAATGCCAAGGCAATGCGAAGAATGTTCAAACAGTAGCTACATCATTTCCAAAGGCTTTATCATTACACAAACGCGGCATTTATCCAGTCAATGCTATATTAGGACTTGCAAGTGTGCTTAAAAATGGTATTGTGCATTTAGTCCAATTTGATATGTATATGCATCATTATTATTTATACCAGGAGAACATTTACATGGAACTTGCAACAGCCCTATCGAAATGTTCCACTTTAAAAATAATCAAAGCCACATGGGCTCGACCAGAAATGATGGCAAAATTTTTAGCAAAAATGACCCAAAATAAGCCATCACTGGACTTCGTTCAAGTTGACGCCTTAAAGAGATCGACGTGTGAGGAACTATCAGCTGTTACTTGGGATGACTTACAATCCTTCTGTGAAAATCTTCAAAACTGCCAAAGCTTTTCCTTTATTGGATGCCAATTTCCTCAAATTGTGGGACATGTTATCAAGTGTCTTCCTTATACCATAAGTGCTATCGACTTTTCAAAATCTGAACTGAATTTGATCTGTGCTTCCCAACTTGCGTCCCATTTAGAACACTCGCGTTGTCTTAAGAATCTGAACTTGAGCAATACTGAACTTATGGGCTCTTCAATAGTTGCTTTAGCTCACGGACTGAAGCTGAGTGGTTCCATCGAAGAGCTTAGATTGTGTGGTATAGAATTCGATAGGTCAGGTATAGCAGCTTTGGGAGAAGCTCTGAGATTAGTGACCACTTTGAAGGCTTTGGACCTAAATGACTGTACACTGACATCAGAAATGTGTAGTCTTTTAGCACCCGCATTTGCAGATAATCAAAGCCTCAATGTTCTGAGGGTATCCAGTGCCAGAATTGCCTCCCCGGACTTGTCTTTAATAAAAAGTCAACAAAATGATAATTTTTCTGTCGTTTTTACAGATGATCAAATCATGGTTTAGAGTGAGATGTGGACTATTCATCAAATAGCTTCTATCTAAACGTACTTAACCTGTGAATAACAATGGAACTACGCAAACTGATGACCCAAACAGAAATAACAATTTGGGCATTCATTGGGAATCTGATAAAGGGCTACGTTAAAGACCTTCGACTTGGACCCGCTTCAGGTTTTTTTTTTAACCAAGCCGATAAACAGCTTTAATATCAGCTCTCAATTATATATAGAACGTCCAATATTGATTCGTATTTTTTGTAATTTTTCGCCAAACAAATATTATTGTCCTACGTAATGATTATTATTATTTTTTAAGTAATTATTATTCTAAACAGTATTAATAATCATCATTATTGTCGTTATTTTAATTATCATTATTGTTAACATTATTATTGTTATTGATTAATAAATAAATCATTTCAGAGACTTGGTGTATTGTTATTTACCATTGGTTATCTTAAAAGGTGCAAATAAAATTTGGAAAAATATTTTAATGTTCTGCACCAAAAATTATAATAACATCTGAATTTTGAAACATGTCTTGAAGCTCAGTTTGATAAACATATTCCAATATCACTCTTTTCAAAATCTCGTTTTGTTCTGACGCACGAGCGCAACAAATGTTATTATTTCCCTTTGTATATAATACGGATCGACCCCACTGAGTCGTTTGCCATTTCCACTGTTAAATCACGAAATACAACCTTTCATAATTTTTTCCAGATATCTTAAAATGTCGTATGAAAGCCTGGTCAATACATAGTTTCTAGACAAATATTCAATTTATCATGACCATAAAAATCCTGAGCTAGTCAAACTGAAAGTAGACCACTACATTTTATCAACACCCGCTTGACTATCACTGCACACAAAACGACTATTTTCAGAATAATCCTTCCATCTATTATCAACTACCAAAATTTGAAAGAAAATGCATTTTTCATAGCTGGACCAAACTTAGTTCAAAATAAGCATGCAAAACTCCCAAATGGGTATTTTCTAAAAATAACACAGACAAAATTCATATAAACATTTACATATAATGAATTATTGTTGTTTTAACCATTGAGATAATTGAAGGCCACAATTGTTCTTTATTTAGGATGGACGTAATGCCATAAACCTGTCGGTCGTAAACAATGCCAACGCAAACAGCAGCATGTTAACTTATTGATGAAACCAGAATAATTTTGCAAAAATACATACAATTATATCAACATTTAACACATTTAAAAACAAATCTTGTCCTGTCGTTCCGGAAATTCCAGCAAAGACAGATTTTAATGACAGTATGAATTAAATATATCGAATTGTCCAAAAATTTACAGTTTTTCATTTGCTATCACGACGTATATATATCATATTCTTTCATGTGCCATCAAAGTTTTGTTTTGTGGGTTTACATTTAGAATGAAAACACTTCTCTCCTAGAAATCGCTACCTAAAATGACAAAAAGTTTGACTGAAAATTTTACTCCTATGTTGCCATTTTATAATCGTTAAGTCATTCTTAGACTATTAAAACCATATATAATGAATCCAAGATGGGTAAAAACCGTTTTTGTAGAAAACTTAGGTTATGAAAATAAACAAAGACGCCAAATCAAAATCTAAGATTTAATAAAATGCTTTGATGTTCGTAATAAAGTTCGTAGAATTTAAGTTGCGCCGTAAAAATTGAAACTTTTGTGTATTTTGTCAATTTGTCATTGATCTTTCTTGGGACATTCGTGTCAATAACAACTTAAGCCATCGGTCAATAACACGGAGTTAATTTAAAGTACAGGTTATTTCATTGGTCAACACTGGCTCACGATATGTTTGGTAAAGTAAGACGTGAGGGATTGAAGACGTATGTCCTACTGCCAAACGATTTACTTACGTCGTTTTAACTCCGTTTCGTCTAATTTGTGTGTCGTTGATATTGTGTTTATGTTTTGAATGAATTTCTTGTCACATCGCCAGCACTTTGTTTCTGAAAGAAAGGTTTTTGTGGTAGAGGATGTGTTGGCTTAGTGAACTCATCATACGGCGACATTCATCCTGCCTTTGTTTTAGGAGTAATTGTTTTAGGTGCTGAAAATATCAAGTTTACAGGTAAGACATGGTTTTAACATGTTTTAAGTGCAATTATCTATGTTTCATCACAGAATACCATCGAGCTCCCGGGGAGAATGAAATGTACTGTTAATAGTTTACATTGTTATCTTCCCTTGCAAGGACAGATAGAGTTGTACAGGGCAAATACGGAAATGCCCTGTTGTTGAAACTGCATCATCAGCCGTTGTGTAAATTTGAAGGTTATATAGTGAAAATCGCGAGATAACACGCAAAGATGACCAAGACCACTTTGTACAACATTCAAAGATTAAAATTTATTCTAATATGATCTACTGTGAACAAATTTCAAACATGCATTAGTGAAGTTACTAAGAAATATCGGTTGATGGGGCGGAGCAGAGGCAACAAAATTTTCCAGGGGGGAAGGTGATCACAGGCTACAGGCCATATGTAAAATGATAACAAATCTGAAAGGTGGGGTGGGGTGGGGGTGTCACATACGGACTTTGTTATATGAGCCATTACGGACTTTGTTATTTTATTAAATTAATTTGTTTGTGATTTGTAAAACAAAGCGTTATTTTATGCTTTAAGAATCAATGTAACGATCATAAACCTAGAATATCATATTGCCCTACACAGCATTAACCAGTAAAAGTTTGAAGCATTATTAAGATGTGTTATTTTATTAATGATTTACTATTTAACATCAAGATCACAAACTGTAGACTGAAAACAAATCACTTTCCTACCAATTATAGCGTAGAGTTTTATCAAGTTTCACAGAAAACACTTGTTTTGGCAATCTATTGATAACATTTGTGTTATTTTATAGACGCAGTGAATGAACAATAGCTTCATAACTTAAATTCGTGTCTCGCTTACAATAGTTACCTTTCACACGGATATTGTCTTTTTGATAGATAGTTTGAGTTTTGTTTGTTCTCAGAATCTAAAGTCTATGTCTCTAGCGATCTTATTTCAAACCCCAGAAGCGAAAATCTGAAACGTTTTGTTTGCGTTGCGTTTGCGTTCGTGTAATACTGCATTGAACGCAAACTACTGTGACCACTCACTTAGTTTTAACAGAACATAATATGTGAGACAAAATTCATTCTAACGAAAAGTATTGATAACATATTTGGCTCAAAGATCATTAAATACCTACAATATCATGATCGCGAAGTTAAATTGGGTTTTATTGGCTATGGAAAAGCTTTTTTATGTTGCACGTTTATTCGACTAACTCCACAAGGAAAAATTTAGACTTCAATGATATACATGTATAACACGTTAAAATTAGGACAAGACAAAGTGTTGCCATCACATTTCTTACGATCCTTTTCATGAAACAATGTCAAGTTTAAATGGACAAGAGGTGGCTTTTTGGGGGGGGGGGGGGGATTTTAGGAATAACTCGTCATTTTTAACATTCAAACGCGGATGATTCAAGGACACACGTGGATTTGAAGGCTTAAATTTCAACGGTGAGCTGTGAACACTATAACTGATTAGCTTAGCTAAAAAATTCCTGTTTCTGAGATTAAAGTATGATTGGTCAAAAAAATGGCCCATCTGTCCCTTTAAAGCATGCAGCACACATTACCATTTTTATTGTTCAGGTTGGCAAGCAAGTTGTGTTTTTAATTTTGTCAGTTGATGGTGCTGGTGTTGTGTTGTTGGAAATTAATGCTATCTATTAATAGCAATACCAATTCTCCCGCAAATTGCAGTTAAGTCAGAGATAAAACCAATCAAACAATCAATTTTATTTAATATGCATGTACCTTTTAAATTACAGAATATCAGATATCCATTCCTTATGTCATTTATAACAGGTACGCTTTTATATAAAATATTAAAGAAGAAAAACTATTGCACTGCAAACTTTATCACTGGTAAGACAAGACTAGTTGTGCCGTTGAATAAATTCTAATAGACATCTTTTGCGTTATATTTGTTTACTGGTGTGTTCTAATTATTGATTTGGGATCAAATTAACGAGAAAATAACAAATGAACGAAGCTTCTTTGTTAATTTCTCGTGTCTTGGTGGATTTGGCCAAGTATGAATGTTTATAGTTGATTAGTTTTGAGTAGAGTTACGTCCCTTCGTTTGGGTAAAATAGTGTTTTACATGAACCAGGCGCAGCACCGATCCCGTACAGTACCAACGAGAATGAAGAACAAACGATATGAATTGTTGTTTAATATTTCTTGGTATTTCCTAACGTCATGTAGTGTTAATGAAAGGAATCGTGCTTAGTGTTATCAATTTGTTGTACCTATTTTTCCACGTTGAAATTTCATTAGGTACAGTCTGTGGCCTTTATTCTCTTCCACACAAACAATGGGCCTTTTAATTTCTGCAATCTGCATGAATGGCTGGGAAAGACCATTCTGATTTTGCTTGGAGGTTCAGTTAGTTCCTACTGTGTTGAGAGCATAATTCCATCGGCATATGTAATGTATATGGCAAAATGAATTGGTGTTTACGTATATCTGAACTTCCATCTTTAACATTCGAATGTAATTTATATTCAAGGAAATTGACCCAATATTATTAACCAGTAATAGTGTTCACAGCTTACCGTCGAAATTTGAGCCTTCAAATCCATGTGTGTCAAGAATTATCCGCGTTTGAAAGTTAAAAAGCGAGTCGTTTTTTCTTGGTACACTGCCATATACAAGAAAAACATCTATAGAAATAGGAAAAGATATTTTTAGTTTGAGATATTTTGAAGGAGTTTTCCAATATTCGTACATTTCTAGTACTTCTGAAGACTATTTACATATATTCAAAACTCAAATCAGCACCCAAACTGGCGCTTCTTTTCCTTTAAATACACACCCTAAAATTTGTTATTCAATTTAAATGTTTCTCCATATCATACTGTATCTCTGTCCAATTGGAAAAACACATCAAGATGATCTGGATGCTACA